ATGTAAGGGACATTCTTCCCACTGACCCCCAATGTAAGGGACATTCTTCCCACTGACCCCCAATGTAAGGGACATTCTTCCCACTGACCCCCCAATGTAAGGGACATTCTTCCCACTGACCCCCAATGTAAGGGACATTCTTCCCACTGACCCCCAATGTAAAGGGACATTCTTCCCACTGACCCCCCAATGTAAGGGACATTCTTCCCACTGACCCCCAATGTAAGGGACATTCTTCCCACTGACCCCCAATGTAAGGGACATTCTTCCCACTGACCCCCAATGTAAGGGACATTCTTCCCCACTGACCCCCAATGTAAGGGACATTCTTCCCACTGAGGGACCCCCAATGTAAGGGACATTCTTCCCACTGACCCCCAATGTAAGGGACATTCTTCCCACTGACCCCCAATGTAAGGGACATTCTTCCCACTGACCCCCAATGTAAGGGACATTCTTCCCACTGACCCCCAATGTAAGGGACATTCTTCCCACTGACCCCCAATGTAAGGGACATTCTTCCCACTGACCCCCAATGTAAGGGACGTTCTTCCCACTGACCCCCAATGTAAGGGACATTCTTCCCACTGACCCCCAATGTAAGGGACATTCTTCCCACTGACCCCCAATGTAAGGGACATTCTTCCCACTTCCCAACTCCACTGACCACCAATGTAAGGGACATTCTTCCCACTGACCCCCAATGTAAGGGACATTCTTCCCACTGACCCCAATGTAAGGGACATTCTCCCACTGACCCCCCCACTGACCCCAATGTAAGGGACATTCTTCCCACTGACCCCCAATGTAAGGGACGTTCTTCCCACTGACCCCCAATGTAAGGGACGTTCTTCCCACTGACCCCCCAATGTAAGGGACATTCTCCCACTGACCCCCAATGTAAGGGACATTCTTCCAATTGACCTCCAATGTAAGGGACATTCCTTCCCACTGACCCCCAATGTAAGGGACATTCCTCCCACTGACCCCCAATGTAAGGGACATTCTTCCCACTGACCCCCAATGTAAGGGACATTCTTCCAATTGACCTCCAATGTAGGGATTCTGTGCAAGTAAGGGATCCCATGATGTAGGGACAAAGTCTGATATGGATGGAGGAAAGGATCCCCTGGATTTTTAGGGACATTAGTTCACTGAGCTCTTCCTTTATGTTGTCCTCAGAGCTCTGTGGAACCCCGGGGTATTTGACCCTCCAGAGATTCTCAAGTGTTCCATGGATGAGGACTCACGACCCCCTGATATGGGAAGGAGGTGGACCTGTAAGTACAGGAAGGTGCGGGTAAGGGACATTCTTAGTGTGGCCATGTAGCAGACATTCATTGAATCTTGCCTTGTAGGTGGGCGTGCGGTGTGATCATGTTTACCCTGCTGGCCGGCTCCCCTCCATTCTGGGCACCGCAGACAGATGTTGATGCTTCGAATGATCAATGGAAGGGGACGCTTCCACTGTTTAGTTCTCCGGAGTGGGATGACCGATCTGCCACAGTGAAGGATCTGGTAATGTCACATCTCTACGTTCCTCCTCTTTGTGTAGGAAGTCTCACATCTCTACGTTCCTCCAGGAGGGTGGGATGATCTCTACGTTCCTCCTCATTGGGTGGGAAGTGTCACATCTCTACGTTCCTCCTCTTTGTGTAGGAAGTCTCACATCTCTACGTTCCTCCTCATTGGGTGGGAAGTGTCTCCATCTCTACGTTCCTCTTCATTGGGTGGGAAGTGTCACATCTCTACGTTCCTCCTCATTGGGTGGGAAGTCTCACATCTCTACGTTTCTTCTCATTGGGTGGGAAGTCTCACATCTCTACGGCGTCCATTGGGTGGGAAGTCTCACATCTCTAGTTCCTCATTGGGTGGGAAGGGTCACATCTCTATGTTCCTCATTGGGTGGGAAGGGTCACATCTCTACGTTTCTTCTCATTGGGTGGGAAGTCTCACATCTCTACGTTTCTTCTCATTGGGTGGGAAGTCTCACATCTCTACGTTCTCCTCATTGGGTGGGAAGTCTCACATCTCTACATTTCTTCTCATTGGGTGGGAAGTCTCACATCTCTACGTTTCTTCTCATTGGGTGGGAAGTGTCACATCTCTACGTTCCTCATTGGGTGGGAAGTGTCACATCTCTACGTTCCTCCTCATTGGGTGGGAAGGGTCACATCTCTACGTTCCTCATTGGGTGGGAAGGGTCACATCTCTACGTTTCCTCATTGGGTGGGAAGTCTCACATCTCTATGTTCCTCATTGGGTGGGAAGGGTCACATCTCTACGTTTCCTCTCATTGGGTGTGGAAGTCTCACACATCTCTACGTTTCTTCTCATTGGGTGGGAAGTCTCACATCTCTACGTTTCTTCTCATTGGGTGGGAAGTCTCACATCTCTACGTTCCTCATTGGGTGGGAAGGGTCACATCTCTACGTTCCTCATTGGGTGGGAAGGGTCACATCTCACATCTCTATGTTCTCTCTCATTGGGTGGGAAGTCTCACATCTCTACGTTTCTTCTCATTGGGTGGGAAGTCTCACATCTCTACGTTCCTCATTGGGTGGGAAGGGTCACATCTCTACGTTCCTCATTGGGTGGGAAGTCTCACATCTCTATGTCCTCCTCATTGGGTGGGAAGTCTCACACGTTCCTCCTCATTGGGTGGGAAGTGTCGCATCTCTACGTTTCTTCTCATTGGGGTGGGAAGTCTCACATCTCTACGTTTCTTCTCATTGGGTGGGAAGTCTCACATCTCTACGTTCCTCATTGGGTGGGAAGGTTCCTCATTGGGTGGGAAGGGTCACATCTCTACGTTTCTTCTCATTGGGTGGGAAGTCTCACATCTCTACGTTTCTTCTCATTGGGAGGGAAGTCTCACATCTCTACGTTGAGCTGTCACTTTATGAACTGGATTGAACTGTGCTCTCTTGTCTTCAAGATTACCCGTCTCCTCGAGATGTCTCCCAGAAAAGCGTCTTACGGCAGACCAGGCGCTCCAGCATCCGTTCTTCCAGAGTCACCAGAGAGAGCAGGGCTCGACTGTCACACCATATTACCGTTTTCGGGTCAGTCTGTCTTCCATTGATCAGGGAGAAGGGAGGAGCTTATTGTGATGAGGAAATTATCTTTGGTCATAGGTGAAGGGCAGGGTTAGTGCTGAAGTCGGGTTTCTCTTGGAGGAGATTTTTCTTCTTTTCGTGGGGAGTCAGACACCCGTCACCTGGACAGGAATTGAGAAAAATCTCACAAATGAGAATACAGAGAACAATAGGTTTTAATTCATCCCTGCTCCACCCGATTGTAAAAATCTGAAGTTTTGTCTGAAGTTGGACTTTAATAACAGGATGGTCTCTCCACAGATGGCAGCCTGGGCAGCTTTGGCGTGTGTGCGAATACTGATGAGATGGCGGCGAGCCCGGCCCGTTACAAGTGAACTTCTTATTAGGGACCCGTATGGTGTGAAGGGTACGGCGGCGACTGATCGATGCCTGTGCCTTCCGGATCTATGGGCACTGGGTGAAAAAGGGAGAGAGACAAAATCGAGCAGCTTTATTCCAGAACCAGCCCAAAGCTCTGCTGCTGACACTGGGGGAGGATGAGGATCAGGATGGTGAGCTGTAACTGCACCTGATTGGGTCCAACGGCTGGAAATGGGCCAACACTGGAGAATCACGCGGTCAATGCTGGATCCAGTCCAGATCCCATCTGCTGATACACACTGTCCCTGGACTCAACAGGTTGGCCAGGGACCAGCAAAGCCAACTTCAGAGACCTCTTTGTTTACTGCAATGTTCTCTGTGTATCGGTGACTCGAGGACTCGAGGGTGGGGGTGGGGGGTTCTTATAACAGAGGGGCCACTTTCAGGGTCCATCAGTCACAAGAGATACACTAACCATACAAACTTCCATTCATTTTTTTATTATTATTTATGTTACAAAATGAAATAAAATGTCTAACCTGATCAACAACCACAGAAAACTGGCCACTGTGTTTTCCTGCCACGACTGAGATGGGTCCTGGTCACGGCACCAAAATGCGATGAAAGCATGTAGAACGCAACCTTCATGCAGGTTCCAGGCAACCTTGGTTCTTCTCGGAGACGTAGCCTTTGTTTTTGGATATTCGATGGATGACAAGTCCACCAGAGTATACACAGAAGAACCTGGTCATAAGACCCCCTTCAGAACCCCCAGATCTTCATCATCACTTTAGCCAAGTCAGTCTTCCTCTGCTAGATCCCTTCCCCCCTCGTTCACTGAGGTGTGGAAGAAGCTGATTGGTTGGCCATACTGATCTTATGAAGGAACGATGGTCCTTGGAGATCCCCCATAACAGAGGAAGACGTTCCTGCAGTCATGGATCACATCCAGTGGAGTTCCAGTCACTCTGCAAAAAATGTCAGAAGCTACAAAAACTGTACCTGCTGACTTCAAACCAGCCACTCAGCTGTCCCTCGATTCCGTGGTGCCCCCCCAGCTGCCTGTTTCACTGGCCGTCTGGTGTTCCCGATGCCGGCACATGGCTAGGACAGCTTGCAGCTTCACAGCCGGGTGCCCACTGCGCATGCGAGAGTAGCGCTGGGCTTTCTGATAGGTCCTGTAGTCTTCTAGGATGTGTCAGGGACCCGGAAGACTACGGGGAGGGAGGACAACTTCTGATTGCCTAGGTCCGTGATGGTGAACCTTCTAGAGGCCGAGGGCCCAAACTGCAACCCAAAACCCACTTATTTATCACAGAGTGCCAGATTACACCGGAATACCGAGGGTTAGAAAATCAACCCACTGAGCACCGGCACAAGGAGGGCAAAGTCCCACTGAGAACCGACACAAGGAGGGGCAAGGTCCCACTGAGTACCGGCACAAGGGGGGAAAAGTCCCACTGACCACCGGCACAAGGAGGGGCAAAGTCCACTGACCACAGGCACAAGGGGGGGGCAAAGTCCCACTGAACACAGGCACAAGGGGGGCAAAGTCCCACTGACCACAGGTACAAGGGGGGGCAAAGTCCCACTGACCACAGGTACAAGGGGGGGCAAAGTCCCACTGACCACAGGCACAAGGGGGGCAAAGTCCCACTGAGAACCGACACAAGGAGGGGCAAAGTCCCACTGACACAGGCACAAGGGGGGCAAAGTCCCACTGACCACACAAGGGGGGGCAAAGTCCCACTGAGCACCGCACAAGGAGGGGCAAAGTCCCACTGACACCAGGCACAAGGGGGGCAAAGTCCCACTGAGAACCGGCACAAGGAGGGGCAAAGTCCCACTGACCCCAGGCACAAAGGGGGCAAAGTCCCACTGAGCACCGGACACAAGGAGGGGCAAAGTCCACTGAGAACCGGCACAAGGAGGGGCAAAGTCCCACTGAGCACCGGCACAAGGGGGGGCAAATTCCCACTGAACACCGGCACAAGGGGGGGCAAAGTCCCACTGAGCACCGGCACAAGGGGGGGCAAAGTCCCACTGAGCACCGGCACAAAGGGGGGGCAAAGTCCCACTGAGCACCGGCACAAGGGGGGGGCAAAGTCCCACTGAGCACCGACACAAGGGGGGGCAAAGTCCCACTGAGCACCGACACAAGGGGGGGCAAAGTCCCACTGAGCACCGACACAAGGGGGGGCAAAGTCCCACTGAGCACCGACACAAGGGGGGGGGGCAAAGTCCCACTGAGCACCGACACGGGGGGGGGGGGCAAAAGTCCCACTGAGCACCGGCACAAGGGGGGGGGGCAAAGTCCCACTGAGCACCGGCACAAGGGGGGGCAAAGTCCCACTGAGCACCGACACAAGGGGGGGCAAAGTCCCACTGAGCACCGACACAAGGGGGGGCAAAGTCCCACTGAGCACCGACACGGGGGGGGGGCAAAGTCCCACTGAGCACCGGCACAAGGGGGGGCAAAGTCCCACTGAGCACCGACACGGGGGGGGGGCAAAGTCCCACTGAGCACCGGCACAAGGGGGGGCAAAGTCCCACTGAGCACCGACACAAGGGGAGGACACAGTCTCACCACCAGCACAACTCCCAGCCAGTCCAATATATATATATATCCTTGGCAGCGCACTGACCGGCCATGTGAAAGCTCGGACGAGTTGCAGTCATTGAGTCACGGCTCGTGACGTCACTACCTGGCACCTCTACTCCTTTCCGAGCATGCGCATGGCCCTATGTGCGCTGTTTTCCGATGTTCGACTGCTGGGGTGTATTGGCTTACGTGCCGACAGACAGGGTCCCCGAGTACCCGCTGCGGCAAGCGTGCCATAGGTTCACCACCACTGGCCTAGGCAAGCACAGTCGAAGTGGTAACTCCCTGATCTCCAAGAGGTGCCAATCCTTAATGCAGAGCAGAGGACCAGTCCTTCAAGCGGAACGTACCCTTTTGGGTGGAGCGCCGCTTTAAGGCCAATTGCTGTATTTACGACTCGCATAGCAGATTGCAGTCTGTGTTACGGCGAACAATTACAGATCCCGAAATCTGTCGGTACCATCATTCAATGACAGATTCGTTCAGATCTGAGAGAGGGAGAGTCTGGCATTCTATCAGTCCCAGTAACAAGGGGCTTAGGAGTTGTAAAACTACGGTGGTCTTCATAGAATTGGCCAAAACAATAACTGACATCAAGGGACCAGTCTGTGTGTTTGAGTCTTTTATTGCCTGACGGGATATCCTACACCCATTCCGAGGGAAAAAATGTGCTGGAAGGTTGAGGGAGGCCGAGACTCCGGCCTGGAAGATTTTTTTTTTTTTTCATTAGGTCTCCATTAGCTCAACCCAAAAGACAGTGTCCTTGGGATTAGACGGTCAGGTGGGGCCTGAAGATGTCAATGATTATATTCTGATCTGGTTATTTCAGGCTTCCTTTGACAGATCCTTTTCTACTCCCTACAATTCCTCTGGAGATCTGGTTCTCGTCTCGGATCTTCCCTCTGGCCTTCCTCAAGGAGATCTGGTTCTGGTCTCTGATCTTCCCTTTGGCCTTCCTCCAGATCTAGTTCTGGTCTCTGATCTTCCCTCTGGCCTTCCTCCAGGAGATGGGTTCCTGGTCTCTGATCTTCCCTCAGTCCTTCCTCCGGGAGATGGGTTCCTAGTCTCTGATTTTCCCTCTGTCCCCTTCCTTCCTCTGGGAGATGGGTTCCTGGTCTCTGATTTTCCCTCTGTCCTTCCTCCGGGAGATGGGTTCCTGGTCTCTGATCTTCTTCCAGATCTAGTTCTAATCTCTGCTCCTCCCTCTGTCCTTCCTTCTGGAGATCTGGTTCTGGTCTCTGCCCCTCCCTCAACGTGGTCCTGGACTTCCTGGCTCAGCGGCTGGTCTATGTGTTCTGTCAGAGTTACATTTCCATTCTCTTCTGAATACAAAAATGAACATTAGAGAAATGTTATCAGAATTATAAAACACCTTTAATTAGTGTACATCATGAGCAGGACACAGAGCATCTTCATATCCATTACCATAGGGTTAGGCTGCCATCTTACCCCAAGGTGATTGGACAAACAAAGACAGGAAGTCCCCTCCCAGGCATAACCCCTCCCTGTTAGGCCAGGCTCTAGTTTTATGACTAGTGTCCTAGTTGACGGTCATGTCTGTGTAGTTTTCTGCATGAAAATATCTTCTCAACTGTTCCATCTGAGATTTGGAGATTGTTTTATCCAGGACCATCTTCCTTAATGGTCAGAGAAATGGTAACTGAACCCCAGGGCAGTGAACCACAGCTGGGATGTCGAGTCCCTGAAGCCACTTGTGGCAAAGCCCACCATGATGGTTGAAGACTGGACCCCCTTAAGGGGCCCTGCGACAGACAGGTGAGTGCCCTGGGTTAGCCCTATGTGGGTTCTGAATGTTCGGAAGCCTGCCTTAAGCCCAGCCCAGGGGTTGGTGTACCTGGGCCTGATTCTGGACACCACCCAGGAGAGAATGATCCTCCCTCTGGAAAAATGTCTTCCTCTGAGGACTCGGGGACTTTGCTCAAAACAATGTCAAATCCTGCAATTCACTTTTGCATGAGAGTTCTGGGAAAGATGGTGGCCTCCTAGTTGATTCCTTTTGCCCAGTCTCATTCCAAATCCCTTGAACAGAATGTCTTCACGGTATGGAGCAGGAGACTGCAGTCATTCAATTCTCCGATGCTGTTAACCCCCAGCACGAGACTGTCTCTGACCTAATGGATCTCCTCATAGATGCTGGAGATAAGATCATTTCTTCCTCTGTCCTGGAGGGTCCTGACCATGGATACCATCCTGCTGGGCGTTCTCAACCATCTTTCAGTCCAAGGGTCTTGGTCTCCACAGAAGGGGTTGTTGCCCACTAATATCTTAGAACTGAGGATGATTAGCCTTACCCTGCTGCATTGGTCAGTGTTGCTGAAGGGCCTCTGAGGGTTCAGCCAGACAAAGCCATGGTGGTAGCATACATAAATCATCAAGGAGACACCAGAAGTTGGGCAGTCCATGAGGAAGTGGATTTCATTGTGTCTTGGGCAGAACTATACATTTCTGCACTGTCCTCAGTCCACATTCGAAGTGTGAAAAATTTGCAGCTGAATTTCTCAGCCTTCAATAACTGCCTCCAGGGGAGTAGCCTCTTCATGCAGAGGTGCTCGAGGAGCTCTGCCAATGAAGGGGTACCCCAGATGTGGATCTTATGGCATCCAGGTTCAATGTGAAGCTGGACAGCTTTATCTCCAGGACCAGGGATCCATGAGCATTCGTAGCAGATGCTCTGGTGATATCTTAAGATCAGTTCTCCCAAATGTATGTCTTCCCACCATTGCAGCTTCTACCTTGTCTGCTTTGCAGGATTCGAGTGCAAGGAATTCTGGTGACTTTGATTGCTCCGGGCTGGCCCAGGAGAACTTGGTAATCTGACATTGTGAACATGTCATGACGATCATTGGACTCTTCCAGACCCAGCTGACCTGCTGTCACAAGGTCCAGTCTTCCATCCTTTACAGTTGCTGATTTTAATGACTGTTGAAGCCTGGGCCCTAAGGGACAGGAGTGTCTCAGTCACTCCTACCCTGCTGAAGGCAAAGAAAGCAACTTCCAGGGAAATGTACAAGACTTGGAAGTCTTATTTTGCCTTGTGTAAGGTGTGAAGTATCCCTTGCAAGTATGTGGTTGGCCATATTCTTACTTTTCTCCAGTCTGGAGTGGACTGAGCCTGGCGTAGAGCATGATCAAGGGTCAAATCAGGGGACCTTGGCGGTCCATTTCAGAGACCAGTTGCTTCACCTTCTTTGGTGCGTGCCTTTGTACAAGGTATTATGCACATGATTCCAAGACTTCATTGACTCCATGGGACCTCAACTTTGCACGTTTGTAATTGCAGAAGTCCTCTTGAATCCATCCAGGATATTCCCTTAGGCCTTCTGACTCAGAAGGCTATTTTGTTGGTTGCCATTAGTTTTGCTGACAGAGTTCTGGAATTGGCTACCTTTGCTGTGAGGAAATGTTCCTGGTACCCCACCACAATGAGGTGGTTCTACGACCTCAGCTGCCACCTTTACATAAGGTGGTTTCTTTTTTCCATCTCAGCCAGGACATTGTATTACCTTCTCTCTTTCCTAAGCCACAGTCATCGGGTGACAAGGCTCTTCTCACCTTGAATGTGGTTTGAGTTCTTCGATGTTTCCTGATATAGACTGTTGCAAATTGATAGTCAGATTCAGTATTTGCGCTTCCCAAGGAGGGGTCACACAGCTTCCAAATCTTCCATGTCTTGTTGGATCCGTCGGCTTATTTCTCAGGCTTACAGTCTAAAGTGCCAGTTCCACCATTTTTGATGGCAGTTCATTGTCCAGGAGTGTGAGCGCCTCTTGGGCTATTCCACATCAGGCTTCCAAAGCTCATATTAGTACAGTTGATACCCGGTCTTGGGTTCATACTTTACAGTTTTACCATTGGGATGTTGGAGTCGCTGAGGACGCTGCCCTTGGTCGGTGTGTTTTGCAGGTTGCTGTGCGAGGCTCTAACCTATTTGGGTTGTTGGGGCCTGTTGGCTTATTGGCCTTCCCTCATATTCGGTGCTCTGAGACTTCCCTACCATAATGGATATGATGGTGCTGTGTGTCCCGTCATGTACGGTAAAGAAAATGGGATTTCTGGTGTATCTGTACACTTGGAGTACACCCAGGGACACAGAGATCCCGCCCATCCTCCTTCCTGGATCATGGCTTGCCACTAAAACTGAAGCCCTAACAGGGAGGTGTTGTGTCTGGAAGGGACGTCCTGTCTTTTCTGCCAGTGTCCAAGCACCTGAAGGTGGCACCATAACCCTGTGGTAATGGATATGAAGACACCCCATGTCCGGGGATGTGCTCCAAGAAAAGGATTTCACAGATAAACCCAACCCCCATTTTCTAGGTGGATATAGTTAGGGGTGGATCACATGTCCTGGTACCTCCTCCAGTCTGATCTGGTTTCACCACTTTCCCATCATTCTCTGCTCTGGGGCTGCTCACATCTCCCTCCGTGACATTATTCGGCACAGTGTCTGTCAGAAAATCAGAACACACTCTTACTCCTCACTGGTGGAGTGCTGCCATGATGACCTTCCAGTCATGTGATTGTTATGTACTTGCTGACTCACTACGTCTCACTCTCTGCCTGCCCTGCGCGTCACTCACGCCTGCACTCACCACCCGCACTGCGCATCACTCACGCCTGCGCTCACTGCCCGGTGCATCACTCCCGCCTGCGCTCACCGCCCGCCCTGCGCGTCACTCCCGCCTGCGCTCACCGCCCGCACTGCTCGTCACTCCCGCCTGCGCTCACCGGCCGCCCTGCGCGTCACTCCCGCCTGCGCTCACTGCCCGCCCTGCGCGTCACTCCCGCCTGTGCTCACTGCCCGCCCTGCGCGTCACTCCCGCCTGTGCTCACCGCCCGCCCTGCGCGTCACTCCCGCCTGCGCTCACCGCCTGCCCTGCGCGTCATTCCCGCCTGTGCTCAACATCTGCGCTCACCGTCTACTCTTTGCGTCACTCCCGCCTGCGCTCACCGGCTGCCCTGCGCGTCACTCCCGCCTGCGCTTACCGCTCGCTCTGCCCGTCACTACCGCCTGCGCTCATGGCCTGCCCTGTGCATCACTCCCGCCTGCGCTCACTGCCTGCCCTGCACGTCACTCTACCCTGCGCTTCATTCCCGCCTGCGCTCAACATCTGCGCTCACCGTCTGCTCTTTGTGTCACCCCGCCTGCGCTTACCGCCCGCTCTGCCCGTCACTACCGCCCACCTTCACCACCTGCCCTGCGCGCCACTCCCGCCTGCACTCACCGCCTGTCCTGCGCATCATTCCCGCCTTCACTCACCGCCCGCCCTGCACGTCACTCCCGTCTGCGCTCACCGCCCGCCCTGCGCGTCACTCCCGTCTGCGCTCACCGCCCGCCCTGCGCGTCACTCCCGTCTGCGCTCACCGCCCCGCCTGCGCGCGTCACTCCCGTCTGCGCTCACCGCCCGCCCTGCGCGTCACTCCCGTCTGCGCTCACCGCCCGCCCTGCGCGTCACTCCCGTCTGCGCTCACCGCCCGCCCTGCGCGTCACTCCCGTCTGCGCTCACCGCCCGCCCTGCGCGTCACTCCCGTCTGCGCTCACGCCCGCCCTGCGCGTCACTCCCGTCTGCGCTCACCGCCCGCCCTGCGCGTCACTCCCGTCTGCGCTCACCGCCCGCCCTGCGCGTCACTCCCGTCTGCGCTCACCGCCCGCCCTGCGCGTCACTCCCGTCTGCGCTCACCGCCCGCCCTGCGCGTCACTCCCGTCTGCGCTCACCGCCCGCCCTGCGCGTCACTCCCGCCTGCGCTCACCGCCCGCCCTGCGCGTCACTCCCGCCTGCGCTCAGCATCTGCCCTGCGCGTCACTCCCGCCTGCGCTCAGCATCTGCCCTGCGCGTCACTCCCGCCTGCGCTCAGCATCTGCCCTGCGCGTCACTCCCGCCTGCGCTCAGCATCTGCCCTGCGCGTCACTCCCGCCTGCGCGCTCAGCATCTGCCCTGCGCGTCACTCCCGCCTGCGCTCAGCATCTGCCCTGCGCGTCACTCCCGCCTGCGCTCAGCATCTGCCCTGCGCGTCACTCCCGCCTGCGCTCAGCATCTGCCCTGCGCGTCACTCCCGCCTGCACCCACTGTATGTGAATCTGAGTACAGGGGGTTGTGCGGTTGTTCGGGATTTTGCTTGTGGACGTATTGGAGTGCTATAATAGTGCTGAAATTTGAATATATGCGTTACACATTTCATCCAGGGAGCAGCACTGAGGTCATTGAGAACTGTGAGAGAGAACACAAGAAGATCGGTGTTCAGAGTAAACTTCACATGGCAGAGCAGGAAAAAGTCCTCTAAATGTTCTCAGCTGTGTGTGTAATCTGAGTTCCACTAATCAGTGCTGTAAAAAGGTTTGGGTTCAGCAAAGCATCGAAGGTTAGCCTGGAGTGCCACCTACTGGCGGGAATAGCTTCTTCTCACTGTCTGTGGTGGAACAATATGAGCCCCCCAAAAAACCACCTGATGGGAAGCGCGGAGTACACCACCATGCTGTGCCTTTGTACAGATGACCCCCTACTGGGGCAGTAATACCCCAACAGCTACAGGATGTTCTCTACTATGAGGGGCCCAAATCACAGAGATACTTCTTCAAGGACCCTTCATTCACCTATGATGTCCCCTCCATGTACACACCTTGGTCAAGGCCTTCCGACTCTTCCTCATAGGAGATGGTGAGGTCTAAGCAAACCTGGGAGAAAAGGAGGCTGGTCATTACCTTCCATCAGGAGCCAAGAGACTCTTCCCGACCCCAGGGACGGAACCTACTCCCTTCCCGACCCCAGAGACGGAACCTACTCCCTTCCCGACCCCAGAGACGGAACCTACTCCCTTCCCGACCCCAGACACGCAGCCTACTCCCTTCCCGACCCCAGAGACGGAACCTACTCCCTTCCCGACCCCAGAGACGGAACCTACTCCCTTCCCGACCCCAGAGACGAACCTACTCCCTTCCCGACCCCAGAGACGGAACCTACTCCCTTCCCGACCCCAGAGACGGAACCCTACTCCCTTCCGACCCCAGACACGCAGCCTACTCCCTTCCCGACCCCAGAGACGGAACCTACTCCCTTCCCGACCCCAGAGACGGAACCTACTCCCTTCCCGACCCCAGAGACGGAACCTACTCCCTTCCCGACCCCAGACACGCAGCCTACTCCCTTCCCGACCCCAGAGACGGAACCTACTCCCTTCCCGACCCCAGAGACGGAACCTACTCCCTTCCCGACCCCAGACACGCAGCCTACTCCCTTCCCGACCCCAGACACGCAGCCTACTCCCTTCCCGACCCCAGAGACGGAACCTACTCCCTTCCCGACCCCAGACACGCAGACCCCGACTCCCTTCCCTTCCCGACCCCAGAGACGGAACCTACTCCCTTCCCGACCCCAGACACGCAGCACCAGCTCCCTTCCCGACCCCAGACACGCAGCCCGCTCCCTTCCCGACCCCGGACACGCAGCCCGCTCCCTTCCCGACCCCGGACACGCAGCCCGCTCCCTTCCCGACCGAGACACGCAGCCCGCTCCCTTCCCGACCCCAGACACGCAGCCCGCTCCCTTCCCGACCCCAGACACGCAGCCCGCTCCCTTCCCGACCCCAGACACGCAGCCCGCTCCCTTCCCGACCCCAGATACGCAGCCCTCTCCCTTCCCGACCCCAGACAAGCAGGCTCCATTCCCGACCCCAGACACGCAGCCCCTCCCTTCCCGACCCCAGACACGGAGCCCGCTCCCTTCCCGACCCCAGACTCTTCCCGGAGGGAGGCGCGCACCCCCCGCAGACTTTTCCCGGAGGGAGGCGCGCACCCCCCGCAGACTCTTCTTCCGGAGGGAGGCACGCACCGTCCACAGAATCTTCCCGGAAGGAGGCGCGCACCCCCCGCAGATTCTTCCCGGAGGGAGCGCACATTGTCCGCAGAATCTTCCCGGAGGAAGGAACGCACCCCCTGCAGACTCTTCTCGGAGGAAGGCGCGCACCCCCCGCAGACTCTTCCCAGAGGGAGGCGCACATTGTCCGCAGAATCTTCCCGGAGGAAGGAACGCACCCCCTGCAGACTCTTCCCGGAGGGAGGAACGCACCCCCTGCAGACTCTTCCCGGAGGGAGGAACGCACCCCCCGCAGACTCTTCCCGGAGGGAGGAACGCACCCCCGCAGACTCTTCCCGGAGGGAGGCGCGCACCCCCCGCAGACTCTTCCCGGAGGGAGGAACGCACCCCCCGCAGACTCTTCCCGGAGGGAGGAACGCACCCCCCGCAGACTCTTCCCGGAGGGAGGCGCGCACCCCCCGCAGACTCTTCCCCCACAATCTGCACATGGGTTGACCACAGCTGAATCCGGCCCAAAGATATCCCGATGATCCCTTCCTAGTCTGAGATTTCCCCAGCAATTCTGATTCCTTACTGAGGTGTGAAGACACATTTATAAAGCTTGAAGTGGCGGAAATAAGTGTTCAGAACATAATCCGATATGTGTGGAAGCTGCTGCTGTGTGAAGACGGCGACGCTGAATGGAGGTCTCTGCAAAACAAACAAAATGGTCACGTTGCCCACGGAGCTGCCTGGGACTCATATACTAAAGGAACACTTCCTGATACTGCAGTGGCACCACCTCCCCGTGTCACTATCTGTAGTGTCTGCACTCCCCCGTGTCACTATCTGTAGTGTCTGCACTCCCCGTGTCACCATCTGTAGTGTCTGCACTCCCCGTGTCACCATCTGTAGTGTCTGCACTCCCCGTGTCACCATCTGTAGTGTCTGCACTCCCCCATGTCACCATCTGTAGTGTCTGCACTCCCCCGTGTCACCATCTGTAGTGTCTGCACTCACCGTGTCACTATGGACAGTGTCTGCACTCCCCGTGTCACCATCTGTAGTGTCTGCACTCCCCGTGTCACCATCTGTAGTGTCTGCACTCCCCCGTGTCACCATCTGTAGTGTCTGCACTCCCCCGTGTCACCATCTGTAGTGTCTGCACTCCCCAGTGTCACCATCTGTAGTGTCTGCACTCCCCCCGAGTCACCATCTGTACCTCCCCCCTGTCACCATCTGTAGTGTCTGCACTCCCCCGTGTCACCATCTGTAGTGTCTGCACTCCCCCGTGTCACCATCTGTAGTGTCTGCACTCCCCGTGTCACCATCTGTAGTGTCTGCACTCCCCCGTGTCACCATGGACTGTAGTGTCTGCACTCCCCAGTGTCACCATCTGTAGTGTCTGCACTCCCCGTGTCACCATCTGTAGTGTCTGCACTCCCCCGTGTCACCATCTGTAGTGTCTGCACTCCCCCGTGTCACCATCTGTAGTGTCTGCACTCCCCCGTGTCACCATCTGTAGTGTCTGCACTCCCCCGTGTCACCATCTGTAGTGTCTGCACTCCCCCGTGTCACCATCTGTAGTGTCTGCACTCCCCCCGTGTCACCATCTGTAGTGTCTGCACTCCCCCGTGTCACTATATGGACAGTGTCTGCACTCCCCGTGTCACTATGGACAGTGTCTGCACTCCCCCGTGTCACTATCTGTAGTGTCTGCACTCCCCCGTGTCACCATCTGTAGTGTCTGCACTCCCCCGTGTCACCATCTGTAGTGTCTGCACTCCCCGTGTCACACATCTGTAGTGTCTGCACTCCCCCGTGTCACTATGGACAGTGTCTGCACTCCCCAGTGTCACCATCTGTAGTGTCTGCACTCCCCCGTGTCACCATCTGTAGTGTCTGCACTCCCCCGTGTCACCATCTGTAGTGTCTGCACTCCCCCGTGTCACCATCTGTAGTGTCTGCACTCCCCGTGTCACCATCTGTAGTGTCTGCACTCCCCCGTGTCACTATGGACAGTGTCTGCACTCCCCCGTGTCACTATGGACAGTGTCTGCACTCCCCCGTGTCACTATGGACAGTGTCTGCACTCCCCCGTGTCACTATCTGTAGTGTCTGCACTCCCCCGTGTCACCATCTGTAGTGTCTGCACTCCCCCGTATCACTATCTGTAGTGTCTGCACTCCCCCGTGTCACTATCTGTAGTGTCTGCACTCCCCCGTGTCACCATCTGTAGTGTCTGCACTCCCCGTGTCACTATGGACAGTGTCTGTCCCCCGTATCACTATGGACAGTGTCTGCACTCCCCGTGTCACTATCTGTAGTGTCTGCACTCCCCGTGTCACTATCTGTAGTGTCTGCACTCCCCCCGTGTCACTATGGACAGTGTCTGCACTCCCCCGTGTCACTATGGACAGTGTCTGCACTCCCCCGTGTCACTATGGACAGTGTCTGCACTCCCCCGTGTCACTATCTTTAGTGTCTGCACTCCCCCGTGTCACCATCTGTAGTGTCTGCACTCCCCCGTATCACTATCTGTAGTGTCTGCACTCCCCCGTGTCACTATCTGTAGTGTCTGCACTCCCCCGTGTCACCATCTGTAGTGTCTGCACTCCCCCGTGTCACTATGGACAGTGTCTGCACTCCCCCGTATCACTATGGACAGTGTCTGCACTCCCCCGTGTCACTATCTGTAGTGTCTGCACTCCCCGTGTCACTATCTGTAGTGTCTGCACTCCCCCGTGTCACTATCTGTAGTGTCTGCACTCCCCGTGTCACTATCTGTAGTGTCTGCACTCCCCGTGTCACCATCTGTAGTGTCTGCACTCCCCGTGTCACTATCTGTAGTGTCTGCACTCCCCGTGTCACTATCTGTAGTGTCTGCACTCCCCGTGTCACCGTCTGTAGTGTCTGCACTCCCGTGTCACCGTCTGTAGTGTCTGCACGCCCCCGTGTCACCGTCTGTAGTGTCTGCACTCCCCGTGTCACCGTCTGTAGTGTCTGCACGGCCCCGTGTCACCGTCTGTAGTGTCTGCACTCCCCGTGTCACCGTCTGTAGTGTCTGCACTCCCCGTGTCACCGTCTGTAGTGTCTGCACTCCCCGTGTCACCGTCTGTAGTGTCTGCACTCCCCGTGTCACCGTCTGTAGTGTCTGCACTCCCCGTGTCACCGTCGGTAGTGTCTGCACTCCCCGTGTCACCGTCGGTAGTGTCTGCACTCCCCGTGTCACCGTCGGTAGTGTCTGCACTCCCCGTGTCACCGTCTGTAGTGTCTGCACTCCCCGTGTCAGTATTAATGGTAGACATTCTCATCATACGCTGCACATAAAAACACACAATATCTATACAATTTGGACTCACGTGGACGGCATGACACAGCAGCAGCTCCTTGAAGTACTGAAAACACTCGTCCACATTTCCCAGCGATGTCTCTAGATGGTGAAACAAACAACTATCAGCAGATTAATATGGACAATTCAGGAGGAAAGGTCGGCCTTCATCCAGAAGAAACCTCAGGGAGGGTGGGACAGAAAGAGAAAAAGACATTCAGGGAGATCATCACTACACTATGCGTGTCTATCGGGACCACGGAATGGGAGGGGGGAGGACAGAGCATGGAGGAGGGAAATGAGGTGCTGAGAGATCCCTGGGGGGGGGGGGAATGACTAGACTGAGGACACTGCTCTACAGCACACCAGAGACAGGAGATTAGAGAGGGGAACCGAGTCCCAGAGGATATTTTACGTGAGGCAAGACATAGGAACAGAGCTCTAGAGGATACCTAGGAGAGGAGATTAGTGGGGAGAAATGGAGGTCTAGAGGAAACCACAAGGGTTGGGATAACTAGAGGAAACCACAAGGGTTGGGATAACTAGAGGCAACCACGAGCGTTGGGATGACTAGAGGCAACCACGAGCGTTGGGATGACTAGAGGCAACCACGAGCGTTGGGATGACTAGAGGCAACCACGAGCGTTGGGATGACTAGAGGCAACCACGAGCGTTGGGATGACTAGAGGCAACCACGAGCGTTGGGATGACTAGAGGCAACCACGAGCGTTGGGATGACTAGAGGCAACCACGAGCGTTGGGATGACTAGAGGCAACCACGAGCGTTTGGATGACTAGAGGCAACCACGAGCGTTGGGATGACTAGAGGCAACCACGAGCGTTGGGATGACTAGAGGCAACCACGAGCGTTGGGATGACTAGAGGCAACCACGAGCGTTGGGATGACTAGAGGCAACCACGAGCGTTGGGATGACTAGAGGCAACCACGAGCGTTGGGATGACTAGAGGCAACCACGAGCGTTGGGATGACTAGAGGCAACCACGAGCGTTGGGATGACTAGAGGAAACCACAAAGCGTTGGGATGACTAGAGGAAACCACGAGGGTTGGGGATGACTAGAGGAAACCACGATGGGGTTAGGGATGACTAGAGGAAACCATGGGGTAGGGATGACTAGAGGAAACCATGAGCGTTGGGATGACTAGAGGAAACCATGGGGTAGGGATGACTAGAGGAAACCATGGGTAGAGATGACTAGAGGAAACCATGAGGGTTGGGATGACTAGACAAGGATAGGAGGTCTAAAAGGAAACCATGGGGTTGGGATGACTAGACAGGGAAATGTAGGTCTAAAAGGAAACCATGGGGTTGGGATGACTAGACAGGGAAATGGAGGTCTAGAGGAAACCATGGGGTTGGGATGACTAGACAGGGAAATGGAGATCTAGAGGAAACCATGGTGGTTGGGATGACTAGACAAGGATAGGAAGATCTAGAGGAAACCATGGGGGAGGGATGACTAGACAAGGAAAGGTCTAGAGGAAACCATGGAGGGAGGGATGACTACACAGGAAATGGAGGTCTAGAGGAAACCATGAGGGTTGGGATGACTACACAGGGAAATGGAGGTCTAGAGGAAACCATGGTGGGGACTAGACAGGGAAATGACTAGAGGAAACATGGTGGAGGGGACTAGACAAAGATAGGAAATCTAGTGGAAACCATGGGGATGGGATGCCTCGACAGGGAAATGGAGGTCTAGAGGAAACCATGGTGGAGGGATGACTAGAAAGGGAAATGGTGGTCTATAGAATATGTAGATGGAGAAAATACTAGATATGGGATCAGAGGAAACCATGGAGGAGAGATAACATTGGGGTCTATAGAATATCTAGAAGAAGAGAAGACTAGCAAAGGGCAGTGAGGTCCAGAAGAAGCTATGGGGGGGGGGGGGTTCTACAAGACACATAGCAGGGGAGAGGACTATAGACAAACTGAGGTCCAAAGGAAACCATGGACGGGATGACTAAGCAGAAGAACTGAGGCCTAGAGAATGCTGAGAGAAGATAAAACTAATCAGAAGAGGTCCAGAGGAAACCATGGAGGTGGGATGATTAAACAGAAGAACTGAAGTCTAGAGGACACATGGGAGAATATAAAACGAAGCAGAACTGAGGTCCAGAGGAAACCATGGAGGTTGGAAGCTAAGACTGCAGAACTGAGGTCCAGAGGAAACCATGGAGGTTGGAAGCTAAGACTGAAGAACTGAGGTCCAGAGGAAACCATGGAGGTTGGAAGCTAAGACTGAAGAACTGAGGTCCAGAGGAAACCATGGAGGTTGGAAGCGAAGACTAAAGAACTGAGGTCCAGAGGAAACCATGGAGGTGGGATGATTAAACAGAAGAACTGAGGACCCTTTGGAGGAGAGAACACTGGAGAAGGGAAGTGAAGTGTGAAGAACTCCATGGCATAGAGATGTAAATTCTACAATAAATGTTCAGTAGAGAGGTACACAGAACAGGAGTACAGAAGAGGCTGGTTTCAGTCTTACCTACGCAAGAACCATGTATCTCCTTCATGATGGAAAATAGACAGGATGTCTGCTCCCTGGTGAATCCACTGTCCCAACAGAAATGCACTGTGTAGTAATACAGATCCAAGAGTGCAGAGGCTCGAAGCTCACCTACACTCTCCTCCGGAGACAGAAGACGGGACAGAGCTCTGCAGAGACACAGAATGAGACATCATATTGAGGTAGATGGACTGTCATACAACATTCCAAAAGCTCAGAGGTCTCACCTACCGGCGCACATCCTCTGCACTCTCCACTTTTTTCCAGTGTCTTGATATCGCTCAGGGTAAGATCTTTCCTAAACACAACAACAAACAATTACCTTCCTACAATACCACTGCAAACAGTTCCTGGAGAGCCAACTATAGAGAAGGAGCCATGCTCTGGAGGACATTATGGAGGACTACAGACAAGGATCCAGAAGACACAATAAAGGACTATAGGGAGGAAGCCAGGTTCCAGAAAACACTATGAAGGACTATAGAGAGGGAGCCATGTTCCAGAGGACACTATGCAGGGCTATGGAGAGGGAGTCATGTTTCAGATGACACTATGTAGGACTACAGAGGGGGAGCCATGTTCCAGAGAACACTATAGTGTACTATAAACAGGAAGCTATATTGTGGAGGACTATATAAAGTGAGCCATGTTCTGCAGGACACTATAGAAGGTTATAGAGACTATAAAGAGGGTGCCATGTTCCAGAGACATTATGGGTGACTATAGGGAAGGAGCTATGTTCTGGAGGACACTATGATGAACTATAGAGAGGGAGCCATGTTCTGGAGGATATTATGGAGGACTATAGAGAGGAAGCCATGTTCTCAAGAACACTATGGAGGACTATAGAGAGGGAGCCATGTTCTGGAGGATATTATGGAGGACTATAAAGAGGGAGCCATATTCTGGAGGATATTATGGAGGACTATAAATAGGGAGCCATGTTTCACAGGACATTATGGAGAAATATCGAGAGGGAAACGTTCTGTATGACATTATGGAGGAATACTGAGAAAGAGCCATGTTCTGGAGGACAATATGGAGGGCTATAGAGAAGGAGCCTTGTTCTGGAGGACATTATGGAGAACTATAGAGAGGGAGCTATGTTCTGGAGGACATTATGGAGAACTATAGAGCGGGAGCTATGATCTGGAGGACACTATGGAGGACTATAGAGAGGGTGCTATGATCCTGAGGACATTATACAGGACTAGAGAAAGGAAGCCATGTTCCAGATGACACTATGAAGGACTATAGAGAGGGAGCCATGTTCCGGAGGACACTATGGAGGACTATAGGGAGGGATTCATGTTCCAGATGACACTATGGAGGACTACAGAGAGGGAGGCACATTCTGGAAGACACTATGGAGATCTATAGAGAGGAAGCCATGCTCTCAAGGACACTATGGAGGATTATAGAGAGAAAGCCATAATCTGAAGGACACTATGGAGGTCTATAGAGAGGGAGCCATGTTCCGGAGGACACTATGGAGGACTATAGGGAGGGAGTCATGTTCCAGATGACACTATGGAGGAGTATTGAGGAAGAGCCACGTACTGGAGGACATTATGGAGGACTATAGAGAGGTAGCCATGTTTTGGAGGACACTATGGGGGACTATAAAGAGGAAGCCATGTTTTGGAGGGCACTATGAAGGACTATAGACTATTAAGGAGAAATATAGAGAGGGAACCTTGCTCTGAGGACAGTATGGAAGACTATAGAGGGGGGGGGGGACTATGTTCTGGAGGACATTTTGGAGGACTATAGAGGAGGAGCCATGTTCCTGAGGACATTATACAGGACTAGAGAAAGGAAGCCATGTTCCACATGACACTATGAAGGACTATAGAGAGGGAGCCATGTTCCTGAGGACACTATGGAGGACTATAAGGAGGGAGTCATGTTCCAGATGACACTATGGAGGACTACAGAGAGGGAGGCACGTTCTGGAAGACACTATGGAGATCTATAGAGAGGAAGCCATATTCTGGGGGACACTACGGAGGACTATAGAGAGAAAGCCATGCTCTCAAGGACACTATGGAGGATTATAGAGAGAAAGCCATAATCTGAAGGACACTATGGAGGTCTATAGAGAGGAAGCCATGTTCTGGAGGACACTATGGTGGACTATAGAGAGGGAGCCATGTTTTGGAGGATACTATGGGGGATTATAAAGAGGGAGACAAGTTTTACAGGACATTATAGAGAAATATAGAGAGGGAGCCATGTTCTGCATGACATTATGGAGGAGTATTGAGGAAGAGCCACATACTGGAGGACATTATGGAGGACTATAGAGATTTAGCCATGTTTTGGAGGACACTACGGAGGACTATAAAGAGGAATCCATTTTTTGGAGGGCACTATGAAGGACTATAGAGAGGGAGTCATTCTACAGGACATTATGGATTAATATAGAGAGGGAACCTTGTTCTGGAGGACACTATGGAGGACTATAGAAAAGGAACCATTTTCTGAAGGACACTATGGAGGACTATAGACAGGAAGCCATGTTGTGGGGGACACTATGGAAGACTATAGAGGGGGAACTATGTTCTGGAGGACATTTTGGATGACTATAGAGGATTATAGAGGAGGGAAGGTGACAGTCTGATGGATTGGGGTAGTGAGTTCCAGAGGATGGGGAGGACCTGGAGAAGTCTTGCAGTCGTGCGTGTGAGGAGGAGACCAGGGAGCAAGATAGAAGGAGGTCCTGTGAAGAGCGAAGGGTACGGGTAGGGTGGTACCTGGGAATCAGGTTGTGTGTGGTAGTCAGGGGCAGTGTTCTGAATGGCTTTGTAGGTCAGAGTGAGCAGTTTGAATTTGATGCGTTGGGCAATAGGGAGCCAGTGGAGGGATAGGCAGAGGGGGGTGGAGCCAGTGGAGGGATAGGCAGAGGGGGGTGGCAGAGGTGGAGCGTTTGGTGAGGTGGATGAGTCTAGCCGCTGAGTTCAGGATGGTCTGGAGTGGGGAGAGCCTGCACTGGGGTAGGCCAGTGAGGAGGGAGTTGCAGTAGTCAAGGCGTGAGACAATCAGGGAGTGTACAAGTAGTTTAGTGGTGTCTGGGGTAAGGAACGTACGTATCTTGGAGATATTGCGGAGGTGGAGCCTGCATGTGTTGGTAAGTGATTTGACATGAGGTTGGAAGGAAAGGTTTGAGTCCAGAATGATGCCAAGGACCTTGGCTTGCAGGGCGGGATTGATGGTGGTGTTGTTGGTAGTGATGGATAGGATGGGGGGGGCACGGGGAGGGGAAAGACGAGGAGCTCGGTTTTGGAGAGGTTAAGCTTGAGGAAATGGAGCGACATCCAGTCAGAGATGTCGTTTAGGAGGTGAGTGATGCGGGCGGAGAATGTGGGGGTGAGGTGAGGGGTGGAGAGGTAGATTTGAGTGTCATCAGCGTAGAGGTGGTAGTTGAAGCCGTGGGAGTGTATGAGTTTGCCAAGGGAGGAGATGTAGATGGAGAAAGAGAAGGGGTCCAAGGACAGAGCCTTGGGGGACCCCATCAGAGAGGGGGAGTGAGGGGGAGGTGGCACCGTTGTAGGAAACGCTGAAGGAGCGTCGGGATAGGTAGGATGAGAACCAAGAGAGAGCGGTGTCTCTGATGCCAAGGGAGAGTAGTTTATTAAGGAGGAGGGGGTGGTCAACTGTGTCGAAGGTCGTGGAGAGGTCCAGGAGGAGGAGGACAGAGTAGTTGCCTTTGGCGGTTAGTAGGTCGTTGGTGATTTTGAGGAGGGCGGTTTCGGTGGAGTGTAGGGGACGGAAGCCGGACTGTAGTGGATCAAGGAGATTGTTGTCAGTTAGGTGGGCGCTTAGGCGGTCGTAGACTAAGCGCTCAAGGAGCTTGGAAGTGAGTGGCAGCAGGGAGATGGGTCTGAGGTTGTTTGGGTCAGTGGGGTCCAGGGAGGGCTTTTTGAGTATGGGGGTGATGTGCGCATGCTTTAGGGGGGGGAGGGGAATACGCTGGTAGAGAGGGAGAGATTGAAGATGTGGGTGAGGGAGCGGATGAGGGGGAAGAGGGGGGGTGACCGGAGGGAGTTGAGAGGGGATAGGGTCCAGGGGGCAGGTAGTGAGGCGGGCTTCTGAGAAGACTCTGGTGACTTCCTCAGTGGTAGCAGGGCTGAAGGAGTACAGTGCTGGGGGGGGGTTGCGGTAAGCGGGGCCTTGGGTGTGGTGGGGGGCAGTGCGGTTGCGAGGTCAGAGGAGGAAGAGATGGGGGGGATATGGGGGGGGGGGGGGGGCTAGGTGGGGAGGTAGATTGCGAGTTGACTATGTCCTTACGGATTGTGTCAATCTTGTTGTGGAAATATAGAGAAGGAGTCTTGTTCTGGAGGACATTATGGAGGACTATAGACAGAAAGCCATGTTTTGGAGGGCACTAGGAAGGACTATAGAGAGCGCACTATGTTCTGGAGGACTTTAAAGAGGTAGCCATGTTTTTGAGGACACTATGGAGGACTATAGACAGAAAGCCATGTTTTGGAGGGCACTAGGAAGGACTATAGAAAGGGAGCCGTGTTCTACAGGACATTATGGAGAAATATAGAGAGGGAACTTTGTTCTGAAGGACACTATGGAGGACTATAGACAGAAAGCAATGATCTAGAGGACACTATGAAAGACTATCGAGAGGGAGCCATGTTCTTGAGAACACTATGGTGGACTATAGAGAGGGAAACATGTTCTGGAAGACACTATGTTGAACTATAGTGAGGAAGCCATGTTCTGAAGGACACTATGGTGGACTATAGAGAGGAAGCCATGTTCTGGAGGACACTACGGTAGACTATAGAGAGGGAGCCATGTTCTGGAGGACACAATATTGGACTATAGAGAGGGAGCCATGTTCTGAAGGACACTACTTGTGGACTATAGAGAGGGAGCCATGATCTGAAGGACACTACGGTAGACTATAGAGAGGAAGCCATGTTCTGAAGTACACTACGGTGGACTATAGAGAGGGAGCCATGTTCTGCAGGACACAATGTTGGACTATAGAGAGGGAGCCACGTTCTGGAGGACACAATGTTGGACTATAAAGAGGGTGCCATGTTCTAGAGGACACAATGTTGGACTATAGAGAGGGAGCCATGTTCTGGAGGACACAATGTTGGACTATAGAGAGGGAGCCATGTTCTGGAGGACACAATGTTGGACTATAGAGAGGGAGCCATGTTCTGGAGGACACAATGTTGGACTATAGAGAGGGAGCCATGTTCTGGAGGACACAATGTTGGACTATAGAGAGGGAGCCATGTTCTGCAGGACACAATGTTGGACTATAGAGAGGGAGCCACG